AAGATTGTATAATAGTAAGAAAAAATATAATTTATAACCTATTTGACGGTAAGCGAACCAACTTGACTCGAGAAACAAAAATTATATATTTCATTGATATTGCACGATATGTTGGAACAATAAGTGATGCACTTGTGTCATACAACTTCATTTGTATCTTGTATCCCCTACAAATAATTTTAACTTTAATAAGTAAATGTTAATTTTTTATATTATACTAAATACAACAAACTTATAAAATATTGTGTTAGAGATATTTACTTACGTTTCATCTTCCAAATGTATTATAAATTTATCTTGCAATCTAATATGTTTGCCCGATACAATTTTTCCAACAAAATCTACAAAAAATTAAAAACATAAAAAAAACACATATATGTAAGTGAAAAAATAATGAAAAAATAGTTGTAAGCTTTTATAAGTACCGATTAAAACTTATCGAACAAGACTGCAATGTAAAAGTCCTTTTAGAGGAAACACTAATGGATAGAAAGGCAATCCATTTTCTAGATCCACCGCTACCGGAGTAAGCTATGTCTTTTCATTGATACTAATCTTTAAATCACCATAAATGAAAGAGTAGTTTTCATATTTCGGGTATTCATGGAAGTGAAACGTTTCTACTTTAAAAGACGACAGCGAAAAAACACCTCCCATCAAGTCATCATCGTACAAATGAAACAAATCTTGTGGGACAAAACCTGCCATTTTTTCTCTTTAAAAAATTTACATTTAGTACAAAGTTATTAAAATAAAAATAAAAGTAATAAGAAACATGTTTACTAACATTTTTGTCAACGCATATAACTAGTTTTCTATTTCCTTCGATGTCATGCCAAATAAAGTGAACTCTAACAAATGGCATCGTATACGAAACTCCAGTATATTGGAATCGAAGAGATTGAAAAACTTCAACATTCACACTCCCATCCATGGTGTATCACATTTGCAAGTTAAATACAAAAAATATATGAAATTATAATATAATATAAAAAGAGAGTAATACAATTTTATTATATATAATATGTTAAGTTTTGTATATATTCATAATTTCAATTGTATAAATTAATTAAAAATGAATGCATATTTGTTTGGTTACTTTCTTATTCTATTACACCAACTGATTACTTTGTTGGTGAATTTGGTACTTTTAAATTTAAAAACTTACTAATTTTCATGTTTCATTTTCATAGTAACTGTATTGAAATATACACGAAAACTTCAAAGAGGTTTAAACTATATTATTAAGCTTTAGATGCTGCTTATTTGTAATGAATACTTCATCTCAAGTAACATTGAATAACAAATATACTTTATATGCATATCTTAAAACATATTAGCATAATAATAAATGTTCTAAATAGTAAAACATAAAGTGTATTAATCATCATGATAATACTGAAATACAAAGATACAGTAAGATGCTCTAATGTTTAAGAGAAGTGCATACCTAAGGAGGCTTTCAATTACACTTGAGATATATCAAAGAAACAAATATAAACCTGAATAACAAAAATTTCATAAAAAATTAAAAACAATGATCTACCGAGTTTACAACATAAGGATTGATTTCAAGAAAAAATCTGATTGTTATATTGTATAAGGTATCATTCAGGCATATAACATTAATAATAATTTACACAAATGTAAATTGAAAAGTATCATAATTTGCAAACCTGTGTTGAATGAGTTGAATTTTTCAAATACGAGAGAAAAGATCAAGTTTTTGGACAATGAGAAAGCAAGTAGTAAACACAACATGTCTCATGCATTTAAATGAACAGGAGTCCTTATATAAGTCAATAGAATGTGGCTTGGAAAATAGATTGTGCAAGTTACTCAACAAACCGTATTCCCCACTATCCCTTAATCTTTCGTGCCTACAATATAGGATTTAATTAACTACTCAATTAAAATTACAATCTTTACCCTTGTGAATCATTATTATTACCAATTAAAGGTCGTTGTGAAACCAAAATCACGTACTTTTGTTTCCAAATTAAGTGGGCAAAAAATCAAAATTTAAAACGGATACAAAATCAAAATAAGGATTGATAAAAAAAAATAGATATATATCATAAATAAATATCTTAACATTTAGATATACTTGAGTAAGCTGTCGTTTACAACTGTCTATGCTATAGCATTGAATATTCATCATTCCATTTGAAAATCGATAACCATTTATTATCCCGATTCGTTTTCCATTTCTATATATTTTAATTGTTTCCTATTAGAAAGAGGCACATAGTTTATAATCTCTCTCGAAAAAAATTAAGAACTCCTCTGATAATCATGGAAAATGGTACAAGAACTTGGTGTATTTGCGAATCTTCTGAATATTTGGATTTGCATGAACTCTACGGTATGCTTTCTGATTTAGATCTTTCAAATATATATTAAAAATTTTGATTTTTTTTTAATATTATTAGGTTCATCAAATACTCTGTATTTCTCAATGAAAATCATTCATGGTGGGAAGTTTGAATATACTCCAAATCATTCATAGAATGGTGGGGTAGTTGACCATGTTGATTTTTCAACATAAAAAACTTGAATATGGATGTTTTTTATGAAATTATATGTACTTTGGGTTATGATGTCGAGTTGGTCCATTGTTATTCTTCTATGTATCTTGCTCCATTGGATTGTGGACTCATGCCTCTTAATCATCCCAATGATTTTGATGCTTTTGCATTAAAAATTCAAAGAGATGGATTTTATTTGGTTCAACAACTATTTTTCCATTATTTTTTCACATACATATATCATTTTTTTATGTTTTTAATTTTTTGTAGATTTTGTTGGAAAAATTGTATCGGGCAAATGGATTAGATTGCAAGATAAATTTATAATACATTTGGAAGATGAAACGTAAGTAAATATCTCTAATACAATATTTTATAAGTTTGTTGTATTTAGTATAATATAAAAAATTAACATTTACTTATTAAAATTAAAATCATTTGTAGGGGATACAATATACAAATGAAGTTGTATGACACAAGTGCATCACTTCTTGTTCCAACCTATCGTGCAATATCAAGGAAATATATAAATTTTTGTTTCTCGGGTCAAGTTGGTTCGCTTACCATCAAATATGTTATAAATTATATTTTTTCTTACTATTATACAATCTTTTTATTAGTTTACATTATTAAAAACCATTGTTTTGTGTATTATATATTTTTAAACCTTTGTGCAGTATGTCTTTTGGTATCAACAATATTTTCCAACATTGCATTCAAACCGGACATGCCTGAAGCATACAAGATTTAGATTTATTATATTAGTTATAGATGTAGTTTGATTTCATTGAATATTAGTTTTTTTATTAAATTGTTATTTTAAACTTATTATTTGTATGGTTTTGTCTTATTTATAAAATTATTAGATTTATGTTGGTCTTACAATATTTGAGTGAAAACATGAAGTTTGTTATACATACTAATTTAATAAATTTAATAATTTATAAATATAACAATTTATTTTTAGCTGTATGTTGTAACATAAAACACAAGAAACTACCGAACAATGAAACTTAATTTCCACAACAAAAAGAAAAAAAATATATAATATATAAAAATTATCTATAAAAATAAAATGTGTAGCTTTTACATGTTTCTAATGTTACATAAACTAGAAAAACAATTACTTTGTTTATGTAAAACATTCTTAGCGATTAACATTTTAACATTTATACTTTGTTTATGTTGATTATGTAATATAATGAATACTATTTGTTATTAATTAATATATTTTACATCAACTTCAAAGGATAATCTTTGTTTATGTGTTTAATGATGTACCATACGTTTATAAAACATATATACTGTAATGGATAGTCTTGATAATACATCTGTTCCCTCAAGTGATTTTAATTTAGTCTCAACAACCGATGTTTATGCTGCTTAACCTTCTGATACTTTTGAAACCCCACAAGTTACGCAACGGGGACGGGGAGGTCGTCCTCGCTCAAGAGGTCGTCCTATAAATTTTAGTGTTGCCACCATCAATGCCCCAAGACGACGTCGTGGTAGGCCCCTTTCCGTTGTCTCTCCCCCGTCAGTTGATGGGAATGTTTGCCTGCCTTCTCAAGCAAGCATGATTGTGTCAACAAATTTTGTCTATTTATTTTCGTTACTCTTTTGGTCAGATTAAGCAACAATTTGTAACATGTATATGATTTTTATTATATTAGCTTCTCATGTTAACAATGTTGAGAGTTGTGGTTCCAACCGTGCAACACCTCATATGATTTTTTCTTCACGTACCATTGTTGATAATGACGGAAATGCAATACATTTGCCGAGATTGAGTAACTCAGTTCTTCCGGTTACAACAAATAATTTTGTTTCACATTCGACTATACCAACATATACTTTGGCCAACACTAGAAGTTTTGCTCCTCCCGATGTTTCTCAAAGTATACACTCAAAACGTAACACTCGAATACTTATGAATTTTATTATCTGTGTTGCAATATAACGTCATTTCCTTAACGTTACTTAATTTTCAATTAATGTCCTTTAGGCCTTATGCTGTCATATTAGGATTGTGGTGATGCAAGTCGCATGCGCATATATTATGAAGCAATGTTATGGTATGTGGAGCGAACTATTAAAAAAGCTTCTCCATCGAATCCTAAATTCTCCATATGTTGTCGTGAAGGAAAGATAAAACTTCCTTTCCTTAGGGATCCTCCTCCACTATTGCACAACTTATTGGATTACAATGGAGATCGACGGTCAAAAGTCTTCATAGAAAACATTAAGTTTGTAAATGCAATGTTTTCGTTCACTTCGGCCGGAGCAAAAAATCATACGACTTTTAATGATGGAAGAGGTCCATATACATTTCATTTGAATGGACATAATCATCATAAAATTGGAAGTTTGTTTCCTACCCATGATGATGGTTGTCCAAGATTTTCCCAGTTGTACATTTATGATACTGAAAATGAGGTCGAAAATCGATTTTATGCCTTACGTCAACATACAATGAGATCGATATCGACGTTGAGATCGACATCAGATCAGGCCATTCTTCGATTCTTGGTTGAAGAACTCATTCATATGCTAAATGAGAGTAACTCATTGGTCAAATCATTTATGATGGCTAAAGATAGGTTCCATGACTCATCGATGCAGCCATTTAAACTTTGTTTAATTGGTCAACGTAACAAGATGGTAGGCAGTATAATCTACTGACTGTGTTGCTTTGATTCTAGGTGGTGGTAACCCTATAGATTCCCGTGATGTACTTATTGAAGCGCGTGGTAACGGAATCGTGAAGAGGATATCTAAACTTCATCCCCCTTTCATGGCATTGGAGTATCAGTTACTTTTCCCATATGGGGAAGATGGGTTTCATTTAAATATCCCTCTAACAACAACTTCTACAACAAACAAAAGAAATAATGTTAGTTTGAGGGAATACTATTGTTTTCGTTTACACTCTCGGAAGAGTGAAGGTAAAACTCTCCACAAATCAGGTCGTTTGTTTCATACATATGTTGTTGATGCGTATGTTGTAGTGCTCGAAAACAACATAGATTGGTATAGGAGAAACCAAAATACAATTCGTTCAGATTTGTATAACCGTTTGGAGGACAGTTTTATGTAGAGGAGAAATAAATGTTCCACATGATGGTAGACGTGTTATACTACCATCATCGTTTATGGGTGCTCTGAGGCATATGATACAACAATATCAGGAGTAATGGCCATATGTCGTTTGGCTGGAACTCCAGATCTCTTCGTTACGATGACGTGCAACCCAAGCTAACCTGATATGAGATTGAGCGACATCTTGAAAAAACTATATCTGGTCAACCAACTACTGATAGACCTGACACTGTTGCACGTATGTTCAAGATTAAGCTCGATGAGTTGATGAATGACATTAGAAAAAAAACATCATTTTGGTCAAACAAAAGCCGGTATGTTTTTGAACACTTTAGTACCCTGATTAAATTTACATAATATGTTCATGTCTAACCTTACTTCTGTGTGTATGTAGTTATTTAAATAATCGAGTTTCAAAAACGATGATTGCCACATTGTCATTGCCTTGTGTTTCTTCATGGTCCTGATATGTGACAACCCAAAACTTTTTATCCAGTAAAATCAATCAATCCAATCAAATGTCAGACTTGTTTCTGCTATCTTTTAGCATTGTTAGGGGTCTGTTTGAGGGATTCTAAGCCTAGTACACTTAAGGATTGGGTGTAGGGTTGTGTCAGCTTAAGTTCATTGGGTTGCAATCGATCCGGAAACTCCATCACAAGGAGTTTACGGCCGCAAACTAGGAGTTTATGGTGATAAACTCTTGGTTGTCGTGAACCCCTTCCCTTATGTATCAATTTCCTTCATTTCTTCATCATTCTTCACATCTTCAAGGCTGAAACTCGATTCTCTCTCAAGTATCATCAAGAACACTTCCATTTTCTTCCATATTGTAAGTGATTCTTCCATTTGTTTCATGATATCCTTCTTGATCTTGTGAAACCCTTTGATAACATCCTTGAATTCATCACTTTTCCTTCAAGATCTTCAAATCTTCATCTTTTCACCAAGAACACCAAGAACACCTACTTGTTCTTGGGCCGTGAACAACCTAAAGTCATCCAAAGTGTGAGTATTTCTTCTATCATCTTGTTATCTATTAGAAGCTCTTGTATCCTCATAAGACCAACACCTTATAAGCATGAATCAAGATCCAAAATACATCATTTTTGAGTGTTTATGGCCGTAAACACCTTCTTGTGGCCGTAAACTCTCCCTTGACCGTAAACATCTTCTCCCTTGGCCGTAAACTCAAGTGTGGCCGTGAACACACCTTCCTTTGGCCGTAAACTCCCTTTAGTCAATCACATGTGATTGTTCAAGTGTTTCCTAGTCCCTAAGGGTGTTTCCCTTCATATTAGTGGTGTTAAACACTAATAATATACATATATGTATCAATATATGTCAATTAGGACTCGTTTGTGCCTCGGGACTTCATTCGTGGAACTTCTCATCCTTACGCGAATCATCAATTGAATCACCCACATAAGGTGAGTTCATATCCCTATAATCAATCTTTTAAATGTTTTAAATGCTTTTAAGGGGGGATACAAGTTGAACACAATGTTAATTGTGTAAATGTTTACCTGTGATAACCATCACATTAAAGGATTTCTTATGCTTTTGTAAGAGATCAAATCTATTCAACAACTCTTTTAAAAAAGATGTTAGTTTATTGTTTATAAAACTCCGTCTTAAGGTACATGTTTAACTCAGTAGATAATTGAGTCTTTTCTTCAAATCGGTAACAGTTCAAGTAAACATAGTAGTAAACTATAATAGGTATAGTTTAAGGGTTCAGTTCATACTATAACTAGTACATGGAGGAGCATACTATAACTAGTACAGGGAGGATCATACTATAACTAGTACATGGAGGAACATACTATAACTATAACAGAAGAACAAATCATGATTTACATACTTATACTATATATTCCCAGTAACCTAGGAAGGGAACGTATCATTAACTCATTGTTCTAAACAAAAGATGATAATAAACATGGTATAAGGTTATATATATATATATATATGGTGGATCTACAAAGTGCCAGGATATATATATATATATATATATATATATATATATATATATATATATATATATATATATATATATATATATGGGGTACATCTACAAAGTACCGGATTTTATTTAAAAAGGGTACATCTACAATGTACCTGACAATAATAAATAAAACATGTTAATATATACAAAACTCACAACAATATTGACTGAGGCGGTAAGAGTGCAGGATTTCATTACTTCTAGTAGTCGTCCTAACAATAGAACAACGTCACATAACTTACTCGTAACATGAACATTCAGTTAGAAAAGGGGGCTATAATGCTAACTTTATGATTCCTCGGTAGATACATCAGGGATATATATTAATCAGGTCTGGCAGACAGTAGGATGTGTGCTTTCCGCTTCACTTCCTATTCCTTGTTTGGTTGTGGGCTTAGAGCAGATTCACCCAGCCTACTATCTATTCGATCTTAGATATATATATATATATATATATATATATATATATATATATATATATATATCCGTATACACCAAGTAATCATAAGGAGTACCAGGTATGGGTCAGGTCATAGTATACAAATTCAATATACCGTTTTCTAGTACAAAAACATACTTTTCAAATAGAACATTTAGTAGGCTAAACTAGAAACTTATCAATAAAAGGGTTTAATCCATTTTATTAAACCAGTATAACTTAAAGGACCTTTAGTGGTTAATTCTATAATACCTTAGTTTATACATCAGGGTTACATATAATTAATATCCGATAAGTAGTTGGATGTGTGCTTTGCGCCTTACTTCATGTTCCTTGTTTGGTTGTGGGCTTAGGGTAGATTCACACAATTAACTATCCGTTCGATATTAGATTATATATAGCTCGTATAAACTAAATGATTATAGAAGGAACTATTGTGGTTACCATTTTTACTAAAGGAAATATATGATTTTCTTAAAGAATGTTTTCATCAAATATAAAGAACTATTACAGTTAACTCCGTAAGTACCAAATGAATACGCCAGGGTTATATATAATGAAGATCTAACAAACAATAGGATGTGTGACTTCCGCCTCATTTCCTGTTCCTTGTTTGGTTGTGGGCTTAGGGCAGATTCACACAATCGATTGTTTGTTTGATCAGGATTCTATATAACTTGTATCCATTTAGTACTCATAGAAGGAATTGTAGAGTCATTTTTACTTTCATTCATCATATCAGAAGATATAGGATTTTATGGAGGAACAGGCGAACTTTTCTAAAAGAACTTTCAACTTACTATACATCGCTAAAATACTTATGAACTCACCAGCTTAAATGCTTATCTACTCTTTCAAAATAACTTGTATTCTCAGGAAACTAGTAGACAGGTATGCTCATTGGGATTCAGAAGATGGAGCATAGTAGCTTCATGTCTTGTTTTGTTATTTACTTGGAGTTAACTTTTTGTGAATCACATACTTTGTAAACACTTTCATATTAATGTAATGGTTGTTTGTTACTTTGATTACTATGATGCATGTGTTGTGATACTAAACATGACGTCCTCCGCCCTCGAACGTTTCCGCCGTTCCGGTTTGGGGGTGTGACATGATAAAATCTCTATAACCGACAGGATTGATCACTTTATATCTGCAGAGTTGCCTTATGAGGAAAATGAACCCGTTGCGTATGAAGCTGTTCGTACTCACATCATGCATGGCCCTTGTAGTTAGGTTAATCATTCAAGCAATGTATGCAAAATGGACAATGTTCAAAAAGATATCCAAAGGAATATTATGATGCAACTTTTATCAGAGGTGATGGGTGGCCCTCCTATCGAAGGTCTAATAATGGAGCAAAAGCTAAAGTTGGTCAGCATGATATTATGCTTGATAATCGTTATATCATTCCCCATAACTTAAAGCTTCTTGTCAAATACGGGTATCATATCAACGTTGAGTATTGTAACCAAGGTACCTTGGTTAAATATCTTTTTAATTATCTGAATAAAGGTCATGATCGTGCTACAGTTGTTTTAGAAGGTCCAAATAGAACACAATCATTCGTATCGATGTTGCAACACGAAGATGAGTTTGAAGAATACATCAAATGTCGTTACATTTCAATATCCGAAGCATGCTGGAAATTATTGGGATTTGAGATGCACTATCGTTCAGTTGCAGTAGGAAGACTGTCATTTCATGAAGAAAACTGTAATAGAGTTTATTTTAGAGATGGGGATGATATTGTAGATGTTGTTGAAAGGACTACAGTTGCAACGTCCAATTTTACTGAATGGATGACAGAAAATCGGTTGTATTCAGAGGCTCGAAATTTAACATATGCAGAGTTTCCAACAAAATTTACATGACATCAAAAAGATAACGAATGGAGGCCACGAAAAGGCGGCGTTTTTATTGGTCATATATATTTTGTAAATCCATCTTAGGGTGAAAACTATTATCTTTGAATGCTACTAAATGTCGTACGTGGTCCCGTTAGCTTTAAAGATATTCGTACTGTTGATGGTGTTGAGCATCCAACCTATATGTCCGCATGCAAAGCATTGAGGTTATTAGGAGACGATACCGAATGGCTTGAATCAATTCAAGAAGCGTCACAATGGCAGTTTGGACATCAACTCCGAGAATTGTTCGTAACAATTTTGTTATTCTGTACTGTTACTGATCAAGCACAGTTCTTCTGGGATTGTTTTCCCTTTTTATCAGAAGATGTTGCTTATAATCAACGTAGATTCCTTCGGAACGAAGAATTGTTGTTTTCAGATGAGGAATTGGTAAATTACACTCTGCTCCATATAGACGATGTTTTAAATGGTAATGGTAGATCATTAGTTGATTTCCCAAATCTACCTCAGATAGAGCATCGTTTGCTGAATATTGGTTCAAATAGGTTGATTGTTGGGGAGCATGCACACAATGTGCAAGAAGAAAGATTGTGTTTTGAAGCTTTATACAGTGCTTTAAATATGAAACAAAACGAGGTTTATACTGCTATAATGAATGTTGTTATTAAAAAAAAAAGGAGGATTTTTTTTGTATCCGGTTGTGGAGAGACTGGGAAAACGTACTTATGGAGAACACTAATTTCTTGTATTCGTTCCCAGGGAAAGATTCTATTAGTTATTGCGTCTTCTGGCATTGCTTCTCTATTATTTCCTGGCGGGCGTACATCATACTCCAGGTTCAATATTCCTATAGATCCTAATCACGACTCATGTTGTTCAATAAACATCGGCATGAATCTTGCAGAGTTGATTAATGTCGCAAAGCTTATTATATGGGACGAAGCTCCATTACAACATCGATATTGTTTTGAAGCTATTGATCACACATTTCGTGATGTTTGTCGGTATTACATTCCTGGTTCTGAAAATCAGCTTTTCGGGGGGATGATTTTAGTACTTGGTGGTGACTTTCGGCAAATCCTGCCCATCATTCCGCATGGATCACGTTGCGATGTCGTTGGAGCTGCTATCAACAAATCACGTACTCTCTGGAATGCATGTATTGTTTTTGTCTTGACAACTAACATGCGTTTACATGATCCAACCATCATCACTAGTGTTGAATTGATACGCATGCATAAATTCAATACATGGCTTCTTGACATGGGGGCTGGTAAGCTTCCTATAATTGTAGTTGAAGGTGAAGATGATGCTACATGAATCACTATACCTAATGACCTTCTGATTCCTATTGCTGACAGTCCTATTCAGACAATGTTATCCAATGTATTCCATGATATTTTGAATAGACTTAGCGACTTCTCTTATTTAAAGGAAAGATGCATTCTTTTCCTAACAAATGACGAGGTTGACAACATAAATTTACATGTTCTTGAAAGTATGCCAGTCGACATGCATGAAATGTTAAGTGCTGATGATATATGTTCGACTACGGATGACTTTGAAGAAATGCAAATTATGTATCCAACTGAATTTCATAACACGTTGTGGTTCTCAGGTGTTCCAAACCATACCTTATACCTAAAAGTCGGTGCACCAATCATATTGTTACGTAACTTGAATTTGCAAAAAGGGTTATGCAATGGGACTCGGTTAGTGGTCACACAAATCAGTCAGAGGGTTCTTGAAGTAGTTGTTATTACTGGAACTCGTGTTGGAGAGAAAGTTCTAAATGGAAGGGTTGATATGACTCCAAATGATATATCTTGGCCTTTTAGATTTAAAAGAAGACAGTTTCCAATAAAAGTTTGCTTCGCTATGACAATAAACAAAAGTCAAGGCCAAACTTTTAATCATGTTTGTGTGTACTTGTCTCAACCGGTTTTTGCTCATGGTCAGCTTTACGTGACGGCATCTCGTGTAACCTCTCGTGAAGGACTTCGATTTTACATTGACAGCAACGGAAAGTGTGCCAACAACTTAACAAAAAATGTTGTGTATAAAGAAGTATTTTATAATTTACCTCTACATTGAATTGTCAACATTGATCTAATGAAGCGTTTGTGTACACAGAACTCTTTTCAATCGTCTGATCAATTATGGAGCACAAATTAGATGCAAACAATTTTTACTTTGAAGATAAGCCACTCAAGGTATGGACTTGATGGTGTGGTGGTTGGAGAGAATGGCAAATTGGTCTGTATTTCATCCAAATATTATGATAAAGCCAAGGGGCAAGATTGAAGTGGAGGCTTTGTTTTCCCAGTTATATATATAAGGAATAACATTGTGAGATTACCAGGTAGTTGGTACATGCGGTTTTTTTTAACCGCAATCAAGCACTTATCCATGTTTTTCTCACAATGATGTTGTACACTTTCTCCATCACGATCTTAATTGTTTTTTCTGCCCTATCTACATAAGTTTTCGATTTCTTTAAGATTATACCGGTTTTTTTTATTCTACAGCTCTGTTACATCTTTTTCTTTGTTTCCTACAATCAACAATGGAGATACTCAAGGCTATGAAATCATCATCAAACACAACTCCATACGAAGGTATCTTTTTCAATTATGTTTAAGTCAATAGCAAATTAGGATTATTTTTTAAGCTTCTTCTTCTATTTTTGTTGCGTGTTGTGGTCTTTGGTGCGATTTTTGCATATCTGAATGTAAATTTTATATAACAGTACTTTGTATTAGGTTATAGACTCAGTTTATGTACATTAGCCTTCAAGTCTGATTACCTGCTACTTGAATTTTCGTGCTTGGTTTGACTTTTGGTCCTTATGCTCCAGTTTTGTAATCTTGGTTAATGGCTGTCAAATCTAACAGCCTGAATGTTAAGTTTTTGAGAATTGCAATTATTAAAGAAATATATAATGGGGTGGGGTGGGGGAGGGGGCATAATGGTCATTACACTTTCCATATAATAGCATTGTACTTATACTGGTTTTTTTTATACCATTCAATTTTACTTAATGTCAATTACTTTAGCTTATACATATATTGACTAAACTACATATTTTTTCCCTTTGCTTAGATGTTTCTTTTTCATTAATGTACAACATTTGTATATTCTTCTTTGGCTAAAGTTGTAAGGATATGGGATATACAAAATGTTTTTTTTTTTGTCAAAGTTTGTCCATTTGCAGAAAAGGATCACCAATATTAACAATGTATTTCTCATTTTGAAAAATAATTGCAACATAGTTATCATTTTAAGCAATAAAAGCAAAAGAATAATTGCAACATAGTTATCATTTTAACGAATAAAAGCAAAGTATTCTGTTATTATGGATAAAACATGTAAAGTAGACTCTATATAGTGAAAGATATACTCAATTAATTTGTTTTTTTTTTCAATTTCACCTTATTTCTATCATATGACAGGGATTTTTACCAATTCTTATAATTTGGTCAAAAGTTTGATTAATTTTTTTTGTTGTACTTGCACCATGATTGTTATATTAATATCTTATATGTTATTTTTTATGAAATATTGTTTGCTTCGTTATGATAAATTGATTGGTTTTACATTGTTACATTGTAGTATGAAGATGTTCTTGATAATGTATATAATAAATATGTGATGGACTTGATTGTTATCGATATTGACATTCAATTTTTTAGCTTACCGTAGACGTCATTTTTGTAATTTTATACTTTCATCTACCTTCTTTAGCATCCATATGTTATATGTATTTTAAACATTTAATTTTACTTTATGTTTGTTCATTATATGATTATTTTGATTGTTTTACAGCTAGCATTATTGGAGACTGACGTGTTTCTTGAAATTCTTTCAAGAACATCATTAAAGACATTCCATATTATACGTTGTACAAGTAAATGTCTTGAAAAACTAACATACACCAACCATGTTCTTGATCTTTACAAGCGAAAAATAATGTGCTTCATTGAGTTATTGTTCAACAAAAAAAACCATGGGGAACGATAGAGCGTCAGTTTGTTCCGTCGTGTGGTGCGAAGAATTTTGACATTGGTTGTCTACCAAATGCATGTACAACTTTAGCAACTTCGTTGAACGGACTTATTCTTGATGAATGTGATAATCTAGATGAATATCCAGAAATGTTTTTATTTGTCTGTAAGCTAATGACTTTAGATGGCAAAACATTACCATTTCCAATTTATAAGTACATTGCGGTTAAAATTTGCTATGGTGGTTATGCGTTCGAACCCGATGCATTTCAAGATCATTCGTTTATCATATACAGAGTCATCATAAGCTTGTTTTACTATTATTATTTAACTATTTGTTTTAGTTGGTTGTATAACATTTATGTTTTTTTTTGTTGTAGTGACTTGACAAAGGATCATGGCTATGAAAACTTCCGAGTAGAATTATTTCAGTCCACTACATGGGAATGGAGGGACCTTGGTAATATTCGGTTACCATCTTCTATTCAAACTATCAAATATCGCGATTTGATGCATATTCTGAAAAATATGTAATCATAGTTTCACCTTATACACATATATTACATGTCGTATACATCGAGGCTAATAAATTTTGCGGGAAAATTGGGATTTTTTTGTCTAAATGGAGATCGTATGTGGGGTCTTTGGGTTCTCATTCAGAATAAGTGGGTTGAATTTGATGTTATTAACAACAATGCAGATGCACATGAATGGTGGGATTATCGAAACAATGAACTATCTTTCTTTACAGGAAAAAGACTTGAGTGTGTTGTTCCGATTCATCGTTGTCATGAAGTCTTTTCATTTCATTCAGATTTTGAGACGGTTTGTTTGTAAATATGATCATGTTTTTGAAGTTTGATACAGTGTGATGTTATAATTAGACATGTTGGTTGCACAAGCACGTGATATATAACATTTAGTTCATGTCATTGTGTTTGGGTTTTTGAAACATGGCTATGTTTTAAGACTTTTGACACCCACTGTACCCATCTTTTCAATACCCATCTTTTCAATACGATATGATTAAAATTTGTTGTTTGTCAAAGGTAATACATCTTAATTATGTTCTGTTATTATTTTGTCATTGTACTTTACTAATACATGAACATGTGCAGAAAGGTACTTTACTATTATCTCATTGTACTTTACTGATACATTGAGTTTATTTGTCCAAAAAACCATTATATCATGAACAAGGGCAAAAAGGTCCAGAAATTATATCACATTAAAAACAAATATGTAACACTTTCATGTTCTTTACAAAAACTTATACTTTTTATTTATGAACATGTAGGGTAAATTACATTAAATAAAAATGTCAATTCCTTTTTCTTATACATATATTGAGTAAATTACATATTTTATCCCTTTGCTTAGCTTTTTCTTTTACCTGAACCAAAATTGAGCTAATTCGTCCTCCCTCATGGTTGCCCCAATGACTGGTCCACTGCAAAATGTTAATGTAATTACCAAACTACCCCTCGACTTCATCATTGGAATTTGTTGCTCACTGATATTCTCATTCTCTTTAATTTGTGTCAATAATATAGTTTCCAAGAATGTCATATTAAATTTCATACTTATGTATGTGTGTGTGTGTCTTTGAGGGGTAATTCAGTTTGGGAGTTCATAGATATAATACAATCAATACCATGTGAAATAAGCTCAAACATACATAACTATTTAATTAAAACCTATGTTTATTCTCAATTGACAAAATGAAAGATTGTAAATATCAGAAAAAGAAAATTAAAAATACAATAAGGGATTTATATTATATATCCGACATAAATATAACATCAAAGACGCAACTAATCACTTTATTGAGGCCCTCAGAAGAAAAAACTAGATGATTTGGCAATTTTTTCTGCTTCATATTTGTTGCATACTGTTAATTTTATTGAAAATGTATATTATTGAAAATAAAAACGGTACTGGGCAACATTCGGTTTTTTTTATCAGACATACGATTACAGTTTAGAGTTGTGGGTTGATACATGCGGTTTTTTTTATAACCTGACTAAGGCAGTTCTCCATGTTTTTCTCACATCATTATGTCGGTTTTATCCCCATGATGTTCAATATATGCTCAATATAATTCGGTTTTATCCCTCATGATGTTCATTGTGTGAGGCTGTGAGCACTATAATTCAGGTTCTGCTTCCCATTATCCATTTTTTTCTTTACAGATTTATAAAGGGGGGTGTGTTTCGGTTTTTACCAGAAACCAGTAACAAAAGAGGTTCATTGGTGAATTGTGGAAGAGGATTGTAAGTTCCTGCATTGTCTTTAATTTCTATATTATGTAAAAAAAAATTCTTTGTTTGCCATAGTTCCATTAGTGGCCCTTTTGCTCTTCATTTCCCATTTTACCCATGTTGTTTATTTTATCGAATTCTACTTATTTATGGTGTTTTGATCAAATTCTGTTGTTTCCTAGTTTGAGTAACACGGGCATATGTTTAGTTATTTTATGTTTGATCATCGTTAAAAACATAGGTTGCATATTTTGGAAAAAAAAAATCGAGTAATACATCTTAATTTCTTTTTGATTTACTATTATGTCATTGTTCTGTTCTGATACACTTACTTTATTTGTCCCAAATGACCATGATATTAGGAAGAGGGGCAAAAATGTCCAAAATGAGCTAAGTAGAAAAAACGTTCTGAATGTTGAGCTAATACGCTATGATCATCATATAAGTTACGCATATTTTTATTTAACTTTAACCGCATCATTTTGTTCTGTTGACTTTACTACATAACTAGTTATATTTTGTTTGAGTTTGCAATTTTTTTGTATTTGGTTGATTTCTGGATAAAGGAAATATGGCACTATAAGTATTTTGCTTTTTCATGTTAATTGTTTTTTCTGCCCTATGTACATACGTTTTCGAGTTGTTTAATATTATATCGGCTATATTTTTGTAGGTTTGCATTTGTCCTCTTATATCATTCAAGAATACCTAAACTCTATTTTTGTATGTTATTCTCCGAATACCTATACAATCTTCTTTTTGTATATACTGCAGTACTATTAGTATTATTAGTATAGATATTTATAAGTTTAGATTCTCTACTTTTCGAAATTATTATTATTATTATTATTATTATTATTATTATTATATAAACAATCTATAATACTTGCCTGTAAAAATAATTTGAAAATGTTTGTTCACATTAAAGACCCTTAGAAAATAACCAACACATAAAACTTCAAATCTACTTTACACCATTTTAAAATTAGGGTCCAATGTTGATACCCTTGCTCATTATTTAACCAAATTCTACTTATTGCTGATGTATTGATGGCATTCTCCAATATTTGTTGATTTATGTAATTGAGTGATATGTTTGAGTTTGTTCTCCTCTGTTTCACCTACGTGATAATAATTAAAATTGTTTCTTTTACAACTTCTCCTTTGTTGTTTATTAGTTTAAGGTTAACATGTTGCGTTATGTCGTCATCCTGTAAAACATAGTTAGTATATTGTGGAAAAAAAAAATTTGTTACATAAATTGCAACATCCATCAAATGTTGTTGCATAAAAAACTAACTACCCGTACAAATATTCTACATATCTGCTTATTCAAGCATGCTTATATTTTTTATTTTTTAATTTTTTTATTACAAATGTAGGCAACCATTGATGAAGATGCAATTTGTTTATCGTTTGGTTAGCGATTTACGTCCTAATATAACAAACAGGTTGAAAGTGCATGTAATTGTTTCCCGTAAATGGATAGTATACAACCCTATCAACAATCGGCTTATATCTGTTGACCTAATCTTATCGGATGAACATGTAAGTTTTCTTCTTTCTATCAACATAAACTACTATTTGTTTAAACTTTCTGTTTTCTCTAACTCTTTGTTATTTTTAGAATTGTTGCATCCATGCAACCATTCCTCATACATTGATACACTCATTTAATAACAAAATCAAAGACGGAGGTGTCTACGGGATACACAACTTTGAAGTTCTTTCATACGATACTTTTTATAGTCCACTACAGAAGGATATATACGTTAAGTTCATGCCTTCTACAATAGTTTCAGATTCTCACCTTCCATTATCATTGTTCCAACGATACACAACTTTGAAGTTCTTTCATACGATACTTTTTATAGTCCACTACAGAAGGATATATACGTTAAGTTCATGCCTTCTACAATAGTTTCAGATTCTCACCTTCCATTATCATTGTTCCAACGATATTCTTTCAATTTCATTCCTTTCTGCAAGATTTCTTCACGTGTTAATGATTCTATATGTTTTTCTAACATATACCTGTTTGTAGACGTTATTGGACGTGTTTGTGAGTGGGGTTTTATAGAAAAAATAGTTCGAAAAGGTCGTTTGTATGATTCAGACATGCGTAAAATAGTCATATCCGATGAAACGTATGTTCTATAAAACACTTATTTCCAATAATTTAGTTTATAAGATTATATATTAATTATATTGCATTTGAAAAATAACATGTAGGGGTACGAAAGTTAGTGTCACAATATAGGGAAAACTTGCTACACAGTACAACGATGAAGACATAAGAAGCTACAATGATAATGTAGTTGTCATTCTCACTTCTTGCAAAGTTTCTCTTTTCAAAGGTTTATTCTTTGTAACAAAACAATATTACTTACAATTTTTTTTGTATATTTAATATGGCTATTTGTTTCTATAAGATGTTCCAACCGTACAGACAACAGCTTCATCTCAAATGTATTTGAACCTTCGGGTGAAGGAGATTGAGTTTTTCAATCTTATGTAATTACTTATATATTTTCATGCAATTCAAGCATAATATAACATGTTGATCAATTTATCTTACACGTCATGTTGTTGTTTTATAGTGTATCACAACCGGTACGCTTTATTTCAGAGCAAAATAAAATAGAGAACTTCGTTGTGACTAGCTTATCTGATGTTTATAGTTACTTACAGGATGGTGTTGTTGAGGTATTCTATTATACATATCGATAACTAAACTGCCATGTGATTTGCGAATTCACTTTGTTTTTTTTTCTTTGTAAAGGGAACACAAAATACTATTGAGGGAACCATCGTCGATATAGATATGTTTAATGATTGGAAAATTTTCCAATGTGGAACATGTCGTAAGAAGGTTACTATGCGTGATGGTCACTATTTTTGTTTTAGTTGTCAGAAAAATGTTGATAACCCTCGTCAATCGTAAGTATTTTTTATTCAAATAGTTTTTTATATGTTATACTTATCAACATTTTTTATATAGATATAAATTGGTTATACGAATAATTGATAAAGGAGAAGAGATCATGTGTGTTGTTTTCAATGAAGCTGCTACTTCTCTTATTAGTTTTATTGTTCATGAATTGGTTAATAAGAGTTTATTAGAGGTTTATATATATATATATATATATATATATATATATATATATATGTGTGTGTGTGTGTGTGTGGGGGGGGGGGGGGTGTTGTATGTTTATTAATATGTTTGTCATGTTTTCTTAGGGTGCCGGTGATCCTAATTGGGTAAAAAAAATTCTTCTCGAAAGCTTATGTGGTCATAAGGTCATTTTTACTATTAAGGTTGACAAATTCAATATGTCGCCAAACTACGTGTGTCGTTTTACTTAACTAAATACTACAGTGACGAAAAGCATTATGATAAGGGATATAAGATTTCTCCCACAATTGAGAAAAGTACGGTGATTATAACAAATGATGAAGATCATTATATAGCCGAAGATGAAAATGAAAGTTTGTCTAAAATCCATAAGTATGAATGGGAGCTCTCAGACCAAGCGTTATGGGGACCATGTATTGATTTGATACCATCAACAATCT